TAAAGTTTCTCCATCAAACAATTTGAGGCTTTGTGAATAGACAGACAGAATATGTGGTAATATTAATGTTTTAATGATAAAAAAGTGACATCAATATGTTAACATTTTGGTGCCAGGACAAATATTCCGTGGAAAAGAGAAAAAGTTTGGGAAAACCTAGACGGTAAAAGTTTGAATGCAAGCTAGCTAACATACCAACGGACGTTAATGTTACTAAAAGAAAGGAGAAGACACTACTCCCGGAGATACAGTGGACACCCTTTTGGCCCAAACCCGCTGCACCCCAGCGAAACATGTCAACAAACGGAAGAAACGGGACACTAATGGTAACGGTGACAGTTCAAATGTTAGCGCTGACATTTTGGCAGCTATCCAGGAGCTCTCCAATTAACAGAACGAGACGTTCCATAAGATTTCAGTGATTGAATTCACGACAGAAACAACGTCTCAACATATTGAAAAACTCTCTTCCACAATTGAGCAGCTTGTGGTGGATATTAATCACCACAAAGACATTTTAAAACAGACAAAGTTCTACTGTACAAGAGCTACTGTAGTCATGGTACCAACCGTTCTGCTGGAATCTCAATTTTTCTGCACAAATTTAAAGCGGAAATCTTAGACGTGGTGTCTTCACATGATGGTAGATGGATTCTCATAATTTTCAAGCATGATAATTCAATTTTTATAGTGTGTAATATTTATGGTCATAACCCTCACTCATCCAATAAGGTGCTTTTTAGTCAGATAACCTTAAAAATAAATGAGCTATTGCAGAAATATCTTAATTCTAATATAATTTTAGGTGCCAACTTTAATGAGTGTGCTGATGATGCAATAGATAGATTCCCCCCAAAACTGTGTCAAGCTTTTCTGAACAATATGGTTTTAAAACTATGCTCAGATCTCTCCCTGACCAATACATGGCGTTTTTTTAACCCTGATATACAGGATTTTACATGGTCTAATAGTAACCTTTCATCTAGATCCAGGATTGATCTCCTTTTAATTTCTTGATCTGCACTTCAGTATGTGAAAGAGGTCTCTAATTCTTTTGCTCCATTGTCAGATTATAAGAAAATCACTCTGAAATTAGGGGGCTCACAGAATGCGACAAAATTACGAGGATACTGAAAATTTAATAATGCCCTTCTTAAAGACAGTTGCTTTAATGATAGTAAAAAGAAACCTTTTCAGTGAAATTGCAGACAATGAATATAAAAAAAATGGGAATACTTCAAGTTTAAGACAAGAAGTATTGCTGTAAAGAGAAATAAAGAGTTAAAAGCCATTAAAAATAAAACAGAATCTGAATTACTGAGCAGAATTGGTTTCCTCTTGTCTAAACCCAACTTATCTTCTGAAGAGGCGCTAGAAGTAAAGGAAATACAATAACAAATAGATCAGATTTATACTGAGTTAGCCAAAGGTGCGTTTGTGAGATCTGAAGCCAAGTGGCTGGAAGAGGGGCAAACAAACTCCAGCTATTTTTTTGCTTTGGAGAAAAGAAATGGTCAAAGAAAGTCACCAAGTATGCTTAATATTAATGATAGTAAATGTACGGACCACAAATTAATATCTGATTTTGTGTTTTCCTTTAATTAGCAACTTGTACAAATCAGAATTCAACAGCTCTTCTTGTGAAATGTTTATTAGTAAGTAATTAGTACTAAAAAACACATAGCTAGTCACAATTGATGAGGACCTGAAAAAAAGAGGTAATTAAGACTGCTCTTTTCTCAGTGAAAAAGGGTAAATCCCCAGGTATAGATGGGCTTTCAGTTGAATTTTACATTCATTGTTGGGAACGTTTATTTTGCATGTACTGTGAGTGTGTTGGTCAGGGAGAGATGAAACTATGAAACAAGGCGTTATATCGCTAATCCCGAAACCAGAAGACAATTTACAGATAGAAAACTGGCAACCTATTACTCTCCTTACCATTGATTACAAGATTCTGGCATCAGTTTATGCAAATAGATTAAAGATGGGTCTAACTCATACTGTTGCTGAAACACAATAAGGTTTCATTAAAGATAGACACATAAGTAATAACACCAGACTTATTTTGGATTTATTAGACTATGCAGATTTAGTACACTCAAAGGTGTTTATTCTCTTTTTAGACTTTTACAAAGCCTTCGACACCACTGAACACAAGTTTCTTACAGAATGTGTTAAATTGTTTGGTTTTGGAAGTCAATTTATAGATACTATTGAAATGTTTTATAAAGGAATTAACAGCTCAGTCTTATTTTTGTACCGTGTTTCTTTCGTACCAGCTCTATCCTATAACAGAATACTAATAATAGAAGCCATTACTAATGTTTGTTGGGTCTTTAATGATTTAGTACGGCGAACAACAATGTGAGACAATGCTAACGTTAGCTTGCTAGCTAAGGTAAGCATTCACTAGCTAGCTAACTTGCTCCTAGCTACAGCGGCACATATTAATCAGCACTGACATTGTGGCCTAAGCTTGGTTTATGTGTGGGCGGAGATGATGATTTTAGTAGAAAACAGCTTGGTGTGTCACAAAATATTGCTGTGACAGTTATAAGACCCAAACATTTAAGCAGCAACCCAAAAACCAAACACGCTGAAAGATGCCATAAAGCTCCATATAGCAGGGGGCACCCCCAGAAATTTGTCACTGGGGAGGCCAGATGGGGCCACTGAAAATCTTACACCAAAACCAAAAGTCATAACTGAATTTCAGGAATTCTATTATGCTTTTAAAGTATACTGGTTAGTTGCAAACTATGTCAGTGAGACTTCAGAAATCACAAACTGATAAACTTTGTTTCTTATTTTACAGTTACAGTTCCACAACAGTTAATGTGTATCTTTGTTAGGCCAATAATTGTTCTTCAAGCAGGCTGGCAGGCCTTTTACTATAAAAGTAAGAAATACAGCTTTAAAACTAAGGGGTACATTGATTGTAGGAAACAAAACATTGGGAACAAGCCTTCTCAAGTTTAGTGCAGACTCGTGGGTCCCCATGGAACCCATTCTCGTTCAGATATGTTGAGGTGAGAGTTAAAGAAACCCTTTTGAAAAAGGACAAGCTGGTTGTTTGTTCACCTAAATTTAGCTCAAATTTAGAGAATAATTTAGCCCCATTCCCTACAAGCTATGGCGACAATGGATGGCATCTATTTTCTAGTTTAAAAAGGTACCCCTATCTTGTGCTAGCTTAAAAAAATAAGCACATCACAACAATTGTGTCAGGAGTTCCTCTCACTGTACAAAAATAAAGCCAAAATATCCGAGATACGGCCACTGCATCTCACTCTGATGATCATTTGGAACCAGAGTCTGCATTAGCAATTTCTGTGGCCTTGAGTTCCTGCCCAAACACCCATTCAACGAATTACGAGCATCGCCATTGAATGCAAGCACACCGACTGGCACACAGCTTTCACTCATGATGTCAAATCCCCTTTTTATAGCATCAAATAACTAATCATAAACAAACTTATCAGAAAAACAAACACTTGAACATACAGGGTGATTAAAAACTACCTTAAATGGCAGAAACATTATTCGGGAAAAATTTGTTTGAGAGTTGTACTTTCAATTTTTAGTTTGGCCAATGTACCATCTCTGTAGATGGAGCGGGTGGGGTTTATTATCTATACTGCAGCACTCCACCAGGGGGCAATCCAGGTGTTTTGGCTTCACTTCTCAGGAGCTGTGATGTCATCCATCTTTATATACAGTCTATGGGCCAAACAGTGGAATTCCAACTTCCGGGCCTGTCACATGATACCATTGGGCAAAAAAAAAAACTTTTTCCCATAGACTTACATAATGAAAGAGACCTCTGTACATCAGTGGATACATTTTTTGAGTGTCACAACCCTCGTAAAATGACTCGTTTCTGTATCAGAATTTGAGCCATTCAGTCCGATAATATTCGAAAACTCTAGGAGAGCCTCACAATTTCATTATTTTATTCCCGTTCAAGTAAGTGATAACTGAAGTAGCTAATTCAGGTGGCAGAAGTACACCTGCTCTATGGGCCGCACAGTTCACCGATCATCCAGGTAATTTTATACGCCGCAATTGAACTTTTTGGGTTTCACGCACCACTTAGCAACTTTCAAAAGAATAGACGGGGCCCCACCTACACTGTCCAGACTCTTTATCCATTCATAGTTCTTTCCTACAAGGCTCATTTTTCATGCTTTCTCATTTAGCCAATTGTTATTGTAAACATATTGATTAAAGATGCTCTAACGCTGAATGTGAAAAGCATCTGCGCTCCTTTAATATCCTCCCAATAGTTTATAGAAGGCTGATGTATACAACAGCAGTCATAAACAGGTCCTGTTTTAAAGAGAAACCAGGCCCAACAGTCAGCAGATTTTGCTCCAGTGTTGCCCTGGAAATATTACAAAAGAATAACTCATTCAAAATATATATTTGTTAGACAACTAAAACCACTGCCGATGGCAGCTGAGTTGTTTGCCGAGTGCCAGAGAGTCATCTCCCTGTAATTAAAGCAGTCTGCCTCGGCAGGCCTAACAGTGAAGAGCACTTCTTCCAGTTGATGCGTGTAATGCAGCACACAACACAAAGCTGTTTATCTTTCTATTAACCCGGCTCCTCAAATGAGTTTATAATTACAGTTTCATCTTTTTATGCAGTTGCCAAACCCATTTCTAAACACTTAGAAATGCCGTAGGTGGACTCTGAGAAGATGAGATCTGTATCACAACCACTAATAAAATGTGTTATTCTGGTGTAAATCAAGTGTACACGAACGTAAAGAGCAGGCGGGCCAGCCCAGTTTAAATCCACTCAATGACCTCAGGCCAGATGGAACAGATAGCAGTAAAGGCGCCAGCAGTTATGAGACAATCAAACAGGTGTACACTGTTATGATTAAAGATATACCCTCTGCTTTGAACAGAGCCTTGTCTCATTTTATGGTCTGCGTACAATATACTGAAAACAGGAAGAGCAGACAATAGGAGACAGCGGGACAAAAGTGATAAAAAAAAAAGACACTTTAATCATACAGTACATCTTTTATCTGAGGCAGCGTGTGGTGACTTGAACACAAGAACACACTGAATTTACCACTGCCTCCCACAAATACAAGAAGTGTCAAGCAACAACTTTTTATCACCTTGTAAAATGTGGCACGTTTGTTATGGTTGATGTGATCATATCTGACGACATATATTGATAATTACACACAATATCACATTATATACTATACCATTTCATGTTGGTGCAAATGGCTGCAGTATGAGTATATTTAACACTGCTGTTTGTTAGATTTCATGGAGGTGTTTTTGTGAAATAAAATGAATTTCCCATAATGATATTGCTTTAACAATAGTGAGTGTTCCCTGTAAAATCTAACACAGAATATGGCACATGGAGACCTGGTAAGTCCAAAAAGAAACATGTAAACAGATGAGATTGCGTGGGTCCGTGCTGTTTTATAAATTAAATATATTTAAACACACTGAGGCACTTGGTCAGCAAACACATCGCAAACATTGATTGCAGAGATGTGTCATTCCTTTTTTTTTGAACATTTATGAACATTTATTTGTTGTGAATTTCTATTTGTTGTGAATTTTGTTAAAATATCAATGTATCATCAACATAAGCTTTCAGAAGAGGGATTGGTGTTTATTGCAATAGGAGGCACGCTGGTTTCAGTTTTTGGCATGTTAAACTCTGAAGCTGAACTGCACTTCACCTTCAATGCCCTGTTAAAACAGTAGAGTTTCTTTGGAGAGGCAGAGGACGCCCGCTGTCTTTTTGAGTTCTGCTTGCACTTTTTGACACTTTCCTCCCGTTTGACGGGAATACTTTTCAGCTTCTCCTGGTTGCCAGGGATTTTACAACAAGGTTCCATCTGTGTTGTAACTGTGGTTGTGGTGGACATGTGGTTGTCACCACAACAATGGTCACTGTCCCTTCCCTTGTGTCTTTCCTGACTGGTTGTGTGTGGTGAGCCCAGTAAGGGGGAGGGGCATTGTGTCTGAGCTTGTGTCAGGGTTGGGGTGCTGACATCTTGGCCACTGTCAGGGCTTGAGGGCCTTGTTTCATGTCTGTGGTCATCCTCCTGCCCCACAGGCTCTGAGCCGGGAGCAGGGCCGGTGTCCTGGCTCAGAGCTGTAGATCTCTGTTCTTTGGCTGAAGCAGCCTGCAGGCTTGCTGTGTGGACACAATACTTCCTGAGATGGCAGCTGTGGGCACGTCCGTGCCTGGGGGCCACTATTCTCCCTTGGGAGCAATGGTGGAAATGGGCAGGGGGACAGTGTACGTAGTGCATACGGCACTCCATGTGTGTGTAGACTGGTTCCAGGTTTGTAGGTAACAGGGCTGCATTTTGTTGGCTTCCTGAGAGTGGGAAGAGCTGAGGGGTGGGAGCGCAGGAGGGAGAGTCCTGGGGAGGCTGAACACAGGGGTGGGGGTTCCACTGCTGAGACAGGTGGTGAGGAGAAGAAGAGTCCCCACATGTGCAGTTAGTGTTTTGAGAGTATTGGCACCTGGACGGTGTGCTCAGTGCAGCTACGAGGCCATTCTCAGGGCCACTCCTGCCTGTCTCAGTTTTGCTCTTGTAATGGATGTGTGAATAAGGAGCAGTGTGGTGGTGAGGGGGGATGCCATTGTAAAGCTGAGCACACACCTCCTGCCCCTCTCTGGGCTTCTCTTCAGTTTTCTGACTGGAGGCCAAAGGCTCCAATTCATAATGCTCCACCTCCCCTCCCCTGCTGTCCAGCTGATACTTCCCCAGGCCAGAGCCTTTCCCTTGAGGTGAGGGGCCCGTGGCTGTGACCTCAGAAAACACCTGACACTGCAGCTTTTTGGGCAGGGGTATCTGGCCGCAGGTCCCCTGGGGTCCAAGGCAGCGACACATGCACTGAAAGAAGAAGGTAGCAAAGGCCCAGCTGATGCACATGATCAGCATCATGAATGTGCCCAACTGGGTGTAGGCTAATACAGTTGAGGGCATCATCATTGCCCCGGCAACAAAGGTGGTTAGTGCTGCCATGGCGATGGCAGAGCCCATGCGGCTGAGGGAGAAAATCACCTTCCCCTCGCGGTCAGGCTCAGGGGCGAGCCGATAGGCCACGCCATAGTGGACTGCGAAGTCCACAGAGAGCCCCACTGCAACTGAAATAGTGACGGACTCAAGGACATTGAGCTCCCAGCCAAGCAGCACCAGGGAGCCCACTGTGACAAAGATGGTACCGGCTATTGACAGGATGGCGTACAGACTGATGATGACATTCCAGGTAGTCAGCAACATAACGCTGAAAGCTACAGCCACTGACAGTGCCATGGCAACCAGAGTGCCATCTGACAGACTGTCCTGGAGGTCGTAGAACTCCAGGTTGCTGATGAACCAGCCGTGGCTGAGGCCTGCTGGAGCGTACCGTAACTCCTCAGTGATCCAGGCATCCACCTGTAACAGAACCACAGTCATTAATGTCAATAGCGTCAAAGCAGATACTGAACTGACCTTATACATGAATTTAGGGATGCACAATATTGGATTTTTTGCTGATATGTAACAACTCAATTGGCTGATAACTGATATCGATATATATCCTCTTTTTTCCTCACCTAATTGTAAGCATCATCAAGTCTCTTCTGTAGTGGAATTAAATTCATATTATGCATGCTCTTGTTGTGATGGCCCACTAGCAGATGGAGTCATGAAATACAATACTTTTTGCTGTATGCAATATTCATTCATTGTGCAAAATCAGAAAAAGCATGTTGGGTTGGTTCATTTTGAAACCAATATCGTCGTACCATTGATGTGCTGATATTATCATGCATCCCCACATTAAGTGACAGCAAATAAAGACTAAGTTGGTCCAACCTCACGATAGAACTGGTACATCTTCTCATAGGCCAGGGTGAAGAGGTAAGTACTCTGGAACTCTAACACTATGGCTCTGATGGTGTCATTGATGTCGAATCGAGGTCCAGGGGTCTTGCTGTCTAGATGGTAGTTTGTACTGCGATCCAGCTCCATAATGGCTCGCTTGATGCACAGCTCAAAGACTTCCTGCTTGTAGGGGAAGGTGGACTGGCTGCAGCAGGGGTAAACTGAAGCCTCCTCGCAGTCCTGGTTCTCCATCCACTGTTCAAATAAGAAAGAGATTACAGTTGAGTATATCCAGTGACACTTATAGTTTTAACTTTGTGCTGTTCAGTGACACTTTTCAAAGTGTTGTCACAATGCCAAAATATGGACTGTAATACCAGTACCAGGTTTAGTATCATGATTCTCCATACTGAAACTATACTCGAAATTGAGACAATTGAGGTGATTTGATACTCATTATGTTTAAAGGCAGTTGCTTATCAGAGTGTACACAATACATCTACAATGAAATCTTACATATTTGATTATAATTTCATATATATCAGGGAAAATAGGTAATAAATAGTTAACATATCATGTATTGTAGACGTCCTTTTACAATGTTCAGGTATTATTCTATGAATAGTTCCAAAACAAACTAGAATTACCAATTTGTGGTTGTATGCATCTGCAAACCAGTCATGTTTGTCTTACAATTCACATCCATGTCTGTGAAAACATGGATGCTTCACACCCATTGTCCTCCCGACAGCACAGAAGATCTATACAATCAGCACAGTTTCAAAGTGGACACCCAAGATTAGAGTCACTAATTCAGTATCTGACCAAATGTCTCCCCTTCTGTTGCTGAGTTATGATGTCAAATAACTGCCAGAGATGTTTTTGCAGAACATTATGATGTCACAGTGAAGTTGACCTTTGACCTTTTGGATATGAAATATCATCACTTTATCATCCTATTAGACTGTGATGGCTGTGCTCACATAAAAAAAGGTTGCATGGTTTCTACCACACCATTACCACATGTTCAGTTACCTTTAATTTGCAGTGACCTACAATACTTCCAACATCAGTTTGTTTAGTTTAAAATGATTATTAATTATTTCTACATGAAGCATGCACATTTAGTTTACATAGGTTTGTCATTTTGCTATTTGCTTTTGTTTTGTTGCTATTTGTTTTTGTAAGTTATTAATTCATTCCTCTTTGTCTTTGAGTTACCTGAGGTCACTTCCTGGTTGGAGTTGGGCAAAAGATGGGGCTAAGGGCGGAGCCTGGTTTTATGCAGAGGGCCATCCCATGCACCAAACCAAGAGCTGTGACATCATGGGGGGATTAGGGGTTTCTTAGTGTTAGTTTTAGTTATTGTCTATGTAAGTTCTCCTGTTTGTGTTTAATTTGGTCTAATCAGCCAGCGTATATGTTGCCCTAGTGTTTCCTTCTGTTAGGTCTGTTTGTTGAGATAACGTCTAGTTTTGTTGACCTCTTTTAAGGGCCCTATAATTCTAATTCTGTTATCTTCAGTAATTTCGGGGGGGGGGGGGGGGGGGGGTTGTTTTTTTTTTTCAATTATGTGTTTTTGGACGTTTGAATCTGG